CACCGGCCTAGCTGGATATTGTACCAGGACTGTCACGAGGCCTCCCTGGCAATCCTGTGTCCTGGTTTGGGCACCACACTGTAAAATAGATGTGTACAAGCTGGAGAGGGTCCAGAGAAGAGCAGTAAGAGTGAGAACCAGTCTAAAAAAACATGAGGAAAGTTTGGAAGAATTGGGATTATTTAGTCCAGGGAGGGATGAAGAGATGGAATTGATAACAGTCTTCAGAAGTCAAATAAAAGGCCGTTAAAAAGAAAAGGGTGATTGATTTTCCCTGGGCCCGCAGGGGACAGGGCAAGTCATAACAGTTTTAAACTCTAAGTAGTGACAGGTCAGATACCAGGCGGCACTTTCTGCCTACGAGGATTATCGAAACACCGACACGGACTACGTAGAGAGGATGTGGAACGTCTGCTCCTAAGTTTTTAAATGGAGGCTGAACAACCATTTGCCTGGGATGGTTTAGAAAAAGGCTGACCCTGCCCTGAGCAGGTGATAGGACTAGTGTGGCAGTGACTTGGTCTTGTCTCTTGACAACAAATTGTGTCTGCTTGAAAGAGTGCTTGCTGAGGCATCCTGTGCCAGCTAAACTGGCTTTCTGAGGGTTAAACTTGGTTTTCTGCTGCTTATCTATGTCTTGCAACATGCTCACAGCTAGCAGAGAGAATGTAAAAGGAAGCCGTTGTGGAGAAGCAGCTCCTGTATTTTGTTAATGCATTTTGCCATAGCTTAAAGCCAGCTTCCTTAGCGATGGCACAGCTAAAATTAATCATGTAAGGAAAACGCAAAGGCTTGTACTGCTATTGATCAGTCATATAAGGAAGTTTGTAGTATAGAACGATAATTGGCTGCAAGCCAACAGCTAGCTCAAAAAAATCCATGCATTTGCTGGTGAAAATCAGCTGAAGGAAAGCGGCGTGGTAAAGGAAGCTCTCATTGTGAAAGAGAGACTGGTGTTATGGGCGTGCGTGGATGAGATCCGTTAATATCAAAAACATGTTGCAACAGTACGTGTTTGTAGCTGTAGAAGTTATCACGGGAATAATGTTCGCCCACACCTCAGCGAGAGCTACGGCCCAGGACACTTGTGCAGCACTGAAAACCTTGCTAGCCGTATAGCCACCACCCATTGAATTACAGAGTGATAATGGGCCTCATTTCTGCAATCATCTTGTATATGCCTGGGCTGCGAAACAGCATGTGATGGACGTATCACATCCCTTACCATCTGCAGTCTAATGGATTGGTAAAGCAAGCCAATGGCACCCTCAAATGCAATTTGCGGTTGGCCACTGGCCGGGCTCTCAAAGACTGGGACTTGCACCTGGATCGAGCTATCAATTGGGCCAATAACTAACCTTGTCTGGGAGGAAGCCCTATGCAACAGGCCTTTGGATTGGGTGGTCCCCGGGAGCCAGCAGTAGAGCAAGCTAGGGGTGGTGACCCGGGAAAGCTCCAGGCAGGGGATCAAGTGCTAGTGAAACATCCTCAGGGAGATAAATGGGAGGGAACATTACTGGAAAAAGGTGTGCATAATACTTGGTGGGTATGTAAGTTAGATTCAACTAACGGGAGCCAAGCTCCTTCTTGTCTTGTTCCTACAGATTGGATCTGTCCGCAAGCGCGGCCATAGCCATTCCTAGTTGAACCTGCTACTGAAGACGAATCCTATCCTATCACCTGTCTAAATCAGCTGGCACCATGAAGGGGTGGACTGTTATAATTATGTTCTTCTTATTAATGCTTTATTGCGTTTCTTGTGTAGGGCGTGTCTACTACCCTTCCTATTACCCTATATTAATGAACTTACTCCTGAAGAGCTAAAAAAAACAGCCTAACCCTGAAGAGCATTCCCCAGAACGCGCTCAAATGACCTTCAAGTGATCCAGCTGCAGTATCCATATTGGAAGAAACCCGCCACTCCGGACCAGGTGAAATCCTGGCCGCTGAGCAGGAGGAACAGAATAGTTGACTGGCGAGGTGGTAACTGTCAGTGCTCCCGTGGCACCGGTTATTATCTTGGGTTCATTCCCTACCTGAAAGCTGGAATGGCTAACTGCGGGAGGGGAGGTAATTGTTGTAGTTCTGCTCGTCTATGGATTTGTGGTTACATACTTCCTGAGGGAGGCCCCATTGAGTTTAACGTCCCTAAGTCTTTGCCTCCACCCGAGCATTCTGCATCTGTTCAGTCGCTCGAGCCACTGTATTCGTGGGAAAATCTACCCCCTCCCATTCCTATGGCTGACAACACTCTCCAGCGATGGTGTAAAACCCACCAGGGGGAGGGCGTGCTACAGGCTGGAACAAAGTTATTGCATGGTTTGTAAATCATACCTACACAGGGGCGTGGTGGAATGGTACCCACTTTAATACTACTGGAAAAAAAAAAGCTGTATCCGCAAGTTTCCCCCAATTATCCCCTCCCCATTCCCTCATAAAGTTTATGTAGCTTTAGCATCTCAGCTATAAATGTCTCAGAATGCTTCAGCAAGCAAGGGGAGGAAGGTGGCAGTGACTTGGTCTTGTCTCTTGACAACAAATTGTGTCTGCTTGAAAGAGTGCTTGCTGAGGCATCCTGTGCCAGCTAAACTGGCTTTCTGAGGGTTAAACCTGGTTTTCTGCTGCTTATCTATGTACTGCAAAATGCTTATAGCTAGAAGAGAGAATGTAAAAGGAACCTGTTGTGTTTAAGCATTTCCCGTATTTTGTTAATGCATTTTGCCATAGCTTAAAGCCAGCTTCCTTAGCGATGGCGCAGCTAAAATTAATCATGTAAGGAAAACGCAAAGGCTTGTACTGCTAT